AAGGACCCTTCCCCCCACCCTTCCTTCTTCCTAGGTGCTGCCTGCCCCGGTCCACTCTCCTCAGGGAGGCCTGCCCACATCCCCTATCTGAAGCAGCACCCACATCACCCTCTCCCACAGATCCTGTGCATTTTCCATCCTACACTAGTATAATCACAATTATATATTCATGTGGGTTTTTATTGTTTTGTTATCTGTCTCCACTTCTAGACTTAAGAACCATTGTCTTTGTTGGGTTTTTGTTTTGTTTTGTTTTATTTATTTATTTATTTATTTATTTATTTATTTATTTATTTATTTACCGCAGTATACCCTGAGACTTTCAGGGAGCTTGAACATAGCGGATGATCAACAAATATATATTGAGTGGACAAATGATAGCTACAACCATAGATACATCAAATTTTTTTATTGCCTACGAAATAGGCATTTGGCATTCAAAGCCTTCACTGACCTGTCTGCAACCTACCCGTGCAGCCCCAACTTTCACTCTGCCCTGAGGTGGCCTGAGTCCATGAGCCCTTCTCTGTCTCATTTATGGCCCAGGGTCATGTGTCCCCGCCAAACTCCGTGCTTCCACTGATGCCATCTCTCTTCCTCCCCATCGCTATTAGTCCTTGACCTTCAAATCTTTGTTGTACATCCACTTCCATGAAGCCTTTCACAATTCCCCCAGTAGGACCTCCTACATGTCCACAGAGTTTAGTGTTTGCATGTATGATCACAGTCCAAAGAGGAGAAACCATATGCACAGTCGTAAAAGACACTCAGATTCACATGCTACCTCCATCACTTTCAAGCCACGGGACTCCAGGTCATTTATGCAAATTTTCCTTCTTACAGTTTCCTCTTCTGCAGAGTATGTGTAGGATTGTCCTTTGCCCTTGCAGGGTTGTGGTGGGGATTGGCGAGAGTAACTACACTATTCGGGGCTCAGGATAAGGAGTTGCTTTTGTGAAGGTAATAATGCAGCCTGTCCGGTGACATAGTTGCGACATGCTAGTTTCCTCCTCTAGACTGTCAACTGTACTTGTCTGATTTCTCTGTCTCTAATCCCAATCCCTCTCACTGTGCCTCCCGGTATACAGATGGGAGGAGCCCAGTGAATGAATGAATGAACGAACGAACGAGTGAGTAAATGAATGAATGAATGAGTGAGTGAGAGTGAACAGCACGTGCCCAAACCCTCCCTACCTGTTGAAGGATCCCAGGAAGTACTAGGGCTCCTGACACCCGCCCTTTTGTTCAAACAGCTCTGAGCAGAAGTGGCCAAATCAGTCTGGGTTTCACCCCATCCCGGCTAAGCTCCCCTGCTTCTCTGATTCGGGGGTCCTGATCCCACCTGCTGTCTGTTCCTGCCCTCTGCGAGAAACAGATCAGTGAGCCCCATAAGAATATGTGGAAGATGACATTTCCAGCTTACAGACCATTCGGAGATGGTTGTTGGCAGTGCAAAGTTGGGAGCTCTCACCGCGGTGCTCCTCTCTCCATTCAGCAACATATTGGAAAGGGTTCCAGCCAGTTACTGCCTTCTCCTTGCCTGCACCCTAAGTCCTTGTCCAAAGACAGCTGGTTTCCATTGAAAATGTTCAGCCTCTCCCCTCCCCTGCCCATGTCGTTTCTCGACTCACACAGGCCCCTGTAGCCTGGGGCGAGGCCCCCCCAGGTTTGAGAAATCCCTGACATGATCGGAGAGGGGAAAAGGGTGTCCCAGACACTCCCACCTTTAAAACACCGTCTTTTAACCAGAGCTGGTCTAAAACAATCAGCACCCGAGCAGGGCAGGGGTGGGGGTGGGGGGGATGGAGGGGTGGGGACATTTTACTAGAGCAGCCTGACTCCTCCTTGCAGAGCTGGAGTATTGCTGACAAGGATTTCTTCGAGGGTGGCTTCGAGTCTGGCTGTCGCTGCAGGCCGGAGAGGACGGGCTCAGGCTCCCCTGGTCCCCGACTCCTGCACTTATCTCTCAGCACCCACACACCTCCTCAGCATGAGCCTGGGAGGCAGGCGTTATTATTCACATTTCACAAGTGCGGGACCAGGCTCCGAGACGGAGTGGCCTCCGCGAGACTGTGCTGGTGCTCGCCTGCTGCCTCACACACCTCCCCCCGACGGGGCCTTTAAAACAGTAGCTCTTCTCTCGTGCCTTCCGTGGGTCTGAATTTGGGGAGGGCCCTGCCGAGCGGTCGTGGCTTGGAGCCTTTGATGCCGTGGCTAGAGCGGGAAGAGCAGCGTGGCTGGCGGGAGTCTCTCTTTCCTCGCGTCTCCACATAGTGTCGGGGCCTCCCCCTGCAGCCCCTCTGTGGGCTCATCTGCGCTTCTTCCCAGCATGGAGTCCTCAGGGCAGCCAGGCTGCGTGCGTGGAGGTGCAGGACCCCAGCTGGAGTATTCTAGCAAGCGAGGGGCAAGTGACAACTCCTTTGCTGACCTCGCCTCGGAAGTCCCACAGTGTCACTCCGACCACCTTCTGCTATTCTTGTAGTTACAAGTGAGTCACAAGCCCACCCAGAATTTTTTTTTTTTTAAAGATTTTATTTATTTGACAGAGAGACACAGCGAGAGAGGGAACACAAGCAGGGGGAGTAGGAGAGGGAAAGCAGGCTTCCCGTGGGGCAGGGAGCCCGATGCAGGGCTCGATCCCAGGACCCTGGGATCACGACCTGAGCTGAAGGCAGACGCTTAACGACTGAGCCACCCAGGTGCCCCAAGCCCACCCAGATTTAATGAGAGGAGATACGGACCACACCTCTCCGTAGAAGGACGGTCAAGGTCATGTCATAGAATAACATGGGAGACACTGTTGCAGACATTTTTGGCACTTCCGGCGTGCAGTACACAAAATGTGGCCGGGCCAGGATTTGGATTCAATACATCTGATTCCAAAACTTCGGCTATGCCTTTTTAGCCAGTCCGCAGGGACCTGTCCTTTCCCCTGCAGCCCATCGCTCTTACTGTCGGCACGCACAGGGGCAATGCGGTCTCCCTAAGCCGACTGGAGCCTGGCTGGGTGAAAGCAGCAGACCAGGGCCTGCTGGTCAGAGAGGCCATGCCCAAGGCCAGCCTGTGAACTTCTTAAAGAGGAGGACAGAGAAGGTCGGTCACATCCGGGAGAAGAAAGCAGGTGGCAGCCCCAGAGCATGGTGAGCCTGCAGCGCATCTCACTGTCATAAACAATTTGTCTGGTGTTTTTCCTTCTCCCACAAGGCTCTGGCCTGGGATGACTCAGCCCGTGACAGAAAAGGTGCCTTCGCATTGAGAAACATTCACTGGTCTGGAGTCAGACATTCGTGAATCGGAGTCCTGGTTCTACTACCGCCTGTTAGGCAGCCTGGGATAAGTTCCTTAACCTCCCCGGGCGAAAGGGAGATTAAAATGCCTTCCTTCCTGGATTGTTTGAAATGTATATGTAAGCAAAGTACTGGTAGCATGCCAGGAACATAGTAGGTGCTCCATTAAATGCTCATTTTCCTGTCCTGGGCCATGTCCAACCCCAGCTTGAGGGCTGTCTTGAAGACAGTGGTGAAAACTCCTTTGACCATTCTGCAAACTCGAGTCCAGCTCCGTGACCCTGGAAGGAGCGGTGGCTGAGACCTCTCCTGTGATGTGACGATGAAATTGAGGTGTCCGGGGACAGAGAAGAAGTCAACCCTGTAAGGCACGCGGAGGGAGGAAGCATGGCCTGGAAAGATGAGAGGGTGTGGGCGAAGGCCTGGAAGCAACAGAAGTTCGGTTGCTGGAGCATGAAGGCCAAGGGCGGTGCAAAGGCGGAGGCCACAAGCACAAAACTAAGAAAATAAGCAGGGGCCCAGTGGTGAAGGACCTTGTAAATCAAGTTCCAAAACTTGAACTTTAAAGGCAACTGGGAGCCACTTGGGAGTTTTCCTCTGTTGGATGCAGTGGTTAGCTCTGCATTCTATAGCATCCCCTCCGACTACGTTGTAGGAAATGGAGTCGAGGCAAGAAAACCTGTGTCAGGGAGGCCCATTAGGACAGGATGACAGTAATCCAGGGGAAAGATGATGCTGGCCTTTTCTAGGGGGACAGCAGGGGCCTGGAGAGAGGTGGACAAACTCAAGAATGAGGAGGTTCCATGACAGTGACAGTTTGGATGTTCATTGCTGAGGGATATGAGAGAAGAGGTAAGTGCTTTAAACGAAGTCAACTTAGAAGTCATGGAAGTGTGGGGCCAGAGCACTGATCACCGCCCTGGGGAGAGGAGTATCATGGAAGGCTCTGCTAAAGGGGTATCACCTAACTGGAGAATTGATGAGCAAAAATTAGCCAAGGGAGGTGGGGAGGTACTTCAGGCAGAGGAAATAGCTCATGTGACGGCTCAGAGATGTCAGCTATAATGCACAGAGCAGTACTCTGTGTTGTTGAATAGATGATTGGTCTGCCGGTTCGTACTAAAGTGCTAATGGTTGATATAGAACTGGCCCTTTCTTCTTCCCTGAGGAGTTTGTACTTTAACAGGTCATGAATCCTTACCCTAAGGATTCATGATCAGTAGATTTCAACGTGGAACACGGACACTGTTTAGGGTGAGAGGGTTTTACCTCTGCCCCCTCCCCCACCCGAGGTTACCAAAGTAGATGACTGATCCTTAAGGGTCAAACAGACCCTGGTCTACACACAACAAAGGGTCTCTTGCCCTTGGGTCTTGCTTATCTGCCTCCACCCTGAGCTACCTGAAGCTAGATCGTGGAAGCCCAGTGATTCCCCAGGGACGCAGTATATTCTAGAAGCTATGAACATAGCTTTGAGGTAAGAATACCTAGATCCATATCCTGGTTCCTCTCCTTCCTAGTCCTTTGACCCTGGGAAAATTATTTAGCTTCTCTGTACCTTTTCCTCATCTGTAAAATGAGGAAAATACTAGTATCTAAAATTTTGTGAAAAAAAGGACAGGACCCGCAAAAAGTTTAGAAGGGTGAGTGGTGTCACTGCCTCTGTTACTGCTGTCATTATTACTAGTCCTCTTTTCGCTCTGTCCCCATCTCCTTCCAAAGTCGCTCCTTGACGCACATGCTTGCAGATATGAAGCTGGGAAGGAACGTGGCGAGAACGTTTTTGGATTATTATCGGCTGAACCCCCTGGTCGAGAAAGTGGCAATTCCCATGCCGAGGCTGCGGTAAGTGACAGGGCAGAACTGTATGGCGTGGGTCCTACTTAACTGGCTTTGTGTTCAGGGGCGGCTTCCCTTGGCTTCTCTCTGGCCCTCAGTTTCACGTCTGTGGTGGGAGAAAGAATCCCTGCCCTGCCCCCCAGCATATGGGGCAGAAGAGCTCAACAGCATATTTCTGTCTATAAAGTATCGTCACAGCATCAGACAGTGTGGGGGTGGTCACATTTCTGTGTCTCCCATAGGAGTCCACGGGGATGGGAGGTGCTGAGGGACTGCGTGCCATCCAAGTTAGTCTGGGTGTCTCCATACGCTACTTCATCTGGTGGCTCATCCTCTAGGATTCCTACTTCATCTAGGCTCATAAGGTCTCTGATCCCTCCATTTTCTCATCTGTCAAGTGGGGACAATGGCACTCACCTAGAAAGTTATTATGAGATGCGTGTTAAAGCACCCTGCACATTTTTAGGCCTACATGTATCCCCTTAAGGCGTGAGAGCCCCCTTCCCTCAAGACGTGAAGGTTCAGGGCTGGGGAGGACACAACCCTAAGAAATTTCACATCAGGTCTTCTGCCGGAGTCAGCTTTTTGGGCCACTGAAGAGAGAAGGTCAGGGGATGAGTATCCCTTCAGAGGGCGAGACCACAGACCAAAGTACTGGGCATTCCCATGACCCCTGGAAGTAAGCCTGGTGAGCATTTGGACAGTGATACCCAATGGCATCTGGAATGTGCTGGCCCTGCCCTATATCTTGGCCTCATTTCCTACTCTCTAGTGATCCAGCCTCCGTAAAGGACATAATGATGTCCAACTTCCTTCTTCTGCCAGATCATTCTTCCCACTGACCTTGCCCATGACCTTGCCCATGTGCTTTGCTGCCTCAGGGCCTTTGCACTAATGCACCTTCCTCCATACCCTGTAATTAACAAAAACACTATTAATCACTGTTATTTATTGAGCAAAGTACTTTTTGTACATGATCTTATTTATTCCTCATAGATATTATACTTCCCATATTACAAATGAGGGGTAAAGGAAGCTTAGGAATGTGAAGAGAATTGCCTGTCAAAGGGATTTTGGCAGAGGTAGGATTTGATCCTAGGATTGTTTTATTCCAAAGCTAGACTGAAGTCCAGCTAAGCTCCACCTTAAGCAGGAAGCCTTTCTCACTATTGGTGTGGGTTCAAATTCTCTCAGGCTCATGCTAACTGTGGGATCTTGGGCAAGTTTCGTGGCCTCTTGAAACCTTTCTCTACCTACCTATACAGTGGGTGTAATAACTAAAATCTCTAGAGATTTTAAAGATTGGATACAAGCTTGGTATAGTGCCTGGCAGTCAGTAGGGGCTCAATAATGTTTCCATCTCCTTTGGTTTCTGGGTTGTAATCCCAGATTTCCAACCAGCTCATTGTGGCCTGGGGCAAGTCCCTGGACTTCTCTGGTTAGGCTGGATGATCTCTCAGGGCCACGTTCCACAATGCTGTGAGGCCCACGTCTCCACAGAGTCTACAAAACAATGTATTCTGACTCATACTCTATCTCAGATTGTTCACCAATCATGTGGGGTCTTTGTGCCCACCCCCCCATTCCCGGTAGATTAAAAACACCTTCAAGGAGGATCATGTCTGTTTTTTCTCTGTGCTCCCCAAGTGCCTAGACTGTACTGAGCATGCATACGTGTCTTCCTTCCTTTCTTCCTCCCTCCCTCCCTTCTTCCTCCCTCCCTTCCTTCCTTTCTCCCTTCCTTCCTTCCTTCCTTCCTTCCTTCCTTCCTTCCTTCTTTCCTTCCTCCACTTAGGAAAACCAGCACTTTAAGCCAGTCCCCTGGGGCGAGGGAGGTGCTCGTGCTTAGTGAGTAGGGCATGACCCTGCCTTTGAGGAGCTCACCTCTAGAGGAAAGTGCTCTCAGTTCATTCTTAGAAGTCGTTCTTGATTGGTTAAAGTTCTTAAAAATTTAAAGCTCTATAATGCTCAAAAGAATTCTTAGAATCTCATTTACAAGTTAATTTGGGGATTGTCTCTCTCAGGTCCTCTGTCAACCTGAATAAAATGATCTTGATCCTTTAGACTTTTTCTTGGCTGTTGCACTATCAGTGAAATGGTGCCGACACTCAGGGAGACCAGCAATGGCGCAGTCCCCTCTTCCCGACACAGATGAGGAAGTCGAGGCCCAGGGAGCCCACAGCACTGGCCACAGCCACGACTAGAGCCCAAGCCCCACAATCCCCAGCCTGCTTTTCTCCGCATGAGTTAGCAGAGTTCCTCCAGATGGACAGGAGGCGGGAACCTGAAACCAGGTGGGAGGCTGCAGGCAGCTCTCAGGGCCCCCAGTGCAACTGTTCATAGGGCTTCATTGCTCTAAACTTTGGAGCCTCTTTAGAAAAGAGCTGGAGAGCTCCTTCCTCAAAGTGCACGGCCTTGAGGACTTGAGGTAAATGCACCCACCCTTAAATTAAGAAAAACCAAACAAACTCCCTCTCCATGCCCACACCTCTGTCTCAGCCAACTATGAGTATCACTTAGCTCTCAGTTGTCAGCAACTCTTGAAAAATGAATTCCCAGGAGGACGCAAGGCTCTGATTTAGGACTTGAATACATCCCCTTTGTTTGTATTATTTTCCACCCAAGCATCAGATAACATAAGTGAAAGAGTAGTTCTGGTTTTAAAGGAAAACTACATGTTTTGGCTCAAAATTAATCTTTGTTTTCTCTCATCTTTGTGGATAATTATAATCCGTCAGTTTCCACTCAGGTGCTGGTGGGAGCTTGTTGGGGGCCAGGCTGCCCTTCAGAGGGGGTCCCTGGGGAGGGCCAGGAGGGCCAGCAATGTGGACCCAAGGGCATAGGTTCAGGGATGTGGCGTTGATGACCAAAGCCAAGACCCCACACTTACCTGGATCACAGTGACATAGCCACGGGGCTAAAGGTCAAAAGGTCCCATCAAGGTAGATGAAAATTAGGAATAATGAACAGGTGAGGTGAGCCTCTGCGGGAAGGTAGAGCATGAGCATGGAAGGTGGGCTGGTCTCTGAGTGTGAAGTGGGCTCAGGCTCAGCGACAGGCTGGGAGGGCGGGCTCCATGGTAGGGTTGTGATGTGTGTGTTGGAGGATGGGAATGATCATCTACTCAACACACGGGAGCCCACCATAGGCGAGGCCATGCACTGGGTGCTGGGGGACATAGAGAGCCCCTGCCTATCAGGAGCCCAGGACACAGAGGAGAAAGGCATGTACACATGCAAAGATGACAAACAATACCAAACAACGTATGAAAGTGCTCAGCTACATATCAGATTATACTCTCTCTCAAAAACCTTCCATGGCTCCCCATTACCTTCAGGGTAATGTTCCAGTTCCTCTTCCTGGTATTCAAAGCTCTGGCCTACATCTTGAACTTCATTTCCCAGCACACCCCTTCCCCTGTGAGCACCCTCTCCACCCCATCTGCTTTCTACCACTTTAGTCCTTATGCTTCAGACTAAACAGGTCAACTATTTTCATGCCTCTATGTCTTTGTTCATCCTTTTTTTCTCTTCCTAGAATGTTCTCCTATTTTGTCTCTAGATGGTGAATTCCTACATACTTTTCAAAGCTGGGTCTAAACATCACACCTCTCTGCTTCACTATCTCTGTTCTCCACCTGAGATAGAGCTACTTCCTCTCTGCCGGATTCCTAACTGCATTTTGCACACACCTGTAGCATTGTATGTCCCATGTTGTCATGGCATCTTTGCACATCTGGCTTCTCCACTAGACAGGTTACCCCTTAAGGAGCTGTCTTGGGTCACTCCTGGATCTTTAGTGCACAATGCTCAGCCTAGCAGGGAGTATATCCTAAAAAAGTCCCAAATGTATGAATGTATGAATTATGGAATGGTAGGAATGAAGAAGCCCCTGAGAATTCTTGACTTCAACCCTTTCATGTTTTAGAAAAGAAAAGTGAGACCCAACCAGAAATTCCCCTCCTACACCACCTGGCCAGCATTTGGCAGCCAGCAGGAGTATCCCAAGAAGGCTTCAGGGAGGAAGTGGCATTTGAACTTGGTTTTAAAGGACATGTAGAACTTACATGGATGAAACAGAAAAAGGAGAGAAGGTATCCCATGTTGGGGGTAAGGTGGAAGGCAGGAAGCAGGGCCTGAAAAGACAGTTCAAGGCAATGACAAGACCAGGATGTCTAGAGCAATGGAGACAGTAAGGTCAAGACCAAAAGTTCATTTCTATTCATCAATCACTCCTCAAGCACCTACGCCAGGCCTGAGCTTTGCTTGGGAATTACAGAGAAAAATCAGATGTGTTACACTCACATTCTCGTGAGAAAAACAGACAAAGAACTACCTAGAAAATGGTTTGCTGAGGGCAAGGTACAAAGTACTGTGGAGATCTTGAGAAGGGAGAAGCTTATTTTCTGGGAAGTCTGCTTCCCAAGTGAGCCTGGAGAGGTGGGGGAAGGCATTATGGCAAGAGGAACACAGGCCCCAGATGTACGGGATATTTGCCTTCCAGTGCCTTCTCTCTCTTTGCCCCCGTCTTGGTTACAGAGGCTCTTTGCCAATCAGTCTACACATTCACATGCCCCCCTGGCCACTGCACACCTTCTGCCATGCCCCCATCTACCTAGGACTGCCCCCGCCCCGTGCTTGTACCTGAACTTGCCCCTCTAGGGGAAGTACGCCTTCCTTTACCCCCATGAAAACATAGCCATCTGATTTCCTATGCTCCCTTTGGGTGTTAAGAACCCACCCCTCGACATATGAATAGCACCCTGTAATTTGCAAAGCTCACCCCCAACCCCCTTACCAGAGCTGACGAGGCAGGAAGGACATAGGCGCTTGTGTGCTCTAGGCTGTCTGTGGGTACCGAGGTCTAGATGTATTTCATCCATGCTAGACAGCCTTGCCATGTTAGCCAGGTCCCTCAGCGACGGTGCCATTTCGGGCAGTGAGGCCTATTGGTGGGGGAGATAGGTTAGGGCAAGGCGTCCCTTTTGTGTGCCGCCACCTGTTACATTTTTACCTTATTCATGACTCATCAACGATGAAGGAAAATGGGTACTCCAAGGTCAGAGCATGATGGGCTACAAGAAGTTGCTTCTTCAGTCCTAATTCAAAAAGCACAAGAGAGATTTCCGTATTTCTGGTGTTTGCCACTTTCTGTCGTGCTTTGTAATTCTTCATTATTTTGTGTAGTCATTTTGTGCAACTGTCTCCTCTACTAAACTGTAAGCAGCCTGAGGACAGCATCAATGTCTGACTCATCTTTGTCATGTCCAGAGACCATGGGACCCTCTAGCACCACGCCTTTGTAAGTTACAGCAGGAAAGGGAAGACATTAAGTGCATTTACTCATATTATTTCATTTAACCTCACAACACCCCTGTAAGATTAGAATATTTTATCCCCATTTTACAAATAAAGCCCAGAAAAGTTAAATAACTTTCCCAAGATCACACCCCTCATACATAGGCAACCTGGGAATTCAGGTGAGTTCTTTCTGGCTCTAAAGCCTACTCTTTCCACCGCAAATGAATCTTAGTCAATCACATGAATGAATGACACATCAACTTATTAGTCAACAACATAACAAACAAGGCCCTGTATGAGGGAAAATGCAAAAATTGATAAAACTTGGTCCCCTGTCCACAAGGAGCTCATAGTCTAGTGTGTGAGCCAAACAGACAGAGGGCAATTACCGAAGGGTAGTGTTAAGGGCATGGCATTGGGTGCTGGGTGCTGTGACTCAGAGATGAGCCAGACATACCTCTGCCTTCCAAGATCACCCAAGCTCATGGCGGAGACAGACCCACTATGAAATGCCATACTTAGGCTATTCTGAGGAATATAAGGGCGACTCTGGAGCCCATGATGGTTATGAAGAGGATGGGGTCCCAGGCTCACCCAGGATATAGATCTTCTATGTGTCCACCCCCATCCCATTGTGAATTGGAGAGGATGGGTTAGAATCAAGGTGGACACATGTAAGAGTTGGAGCTGTAGTCTGTCAGGTTTTCTCCAGAACCAGAATGATACCGAGTATCCATCCATCCATCTAGCAGTCATTCATTGAGCCATGATGCCTGCTTTGAACCAGGCCCTGGGCTGGGTTCCTGGGACACAGAGAAAAGGAAGACAAGGCCACTGCTCCTGGGCTGTCGTAGTCCAGTGGGGGAGAGAGACATGCACAGAAATGATTTCAATCCGGTATGTATGTGTGCTGTCTTTCTTCTCTCTTTCTGTTATCTCCCCTTTACAGGAAAGAAAAGCCCCCTCCCTACAAGCACCCACTCCTGCGGGGCCCAGCCAGGAACCACCCCAACGGCAAAGGGGACAAGAAGAGCTCCGTGAACCACAAAGACCCTTCAAACTCTTTTTAAGGACATGGAGTCCAGGAGGTCTTGTGGAGGCAGGAGCATGCATTTTCTGCTGGGGCATGAACTTAAGCACCCTTCTCTAGTTTCCAAGATAAAGGGTGTGGGATAATGAATAAGCTAGTGAAAGGGAAGGAAAAATGAGAAACCTCACTGTCGATTTTCCCTTTTACCAATGGAAAATCAATTGTGGGCCTTCAGCCTAAGGCTCAGGATCAAAATAGGAGGTTCAAACCAACGGAGTACAGATGCTATTTTCCCCAGCACAGAGATCCTCACAGCAAGAGGAAAAGCTACACGTCCCTTTTGAGAGGTTTGGCACATCTCAGGTCAGGGCTTCTGAAGCCCCGTTACCTTTTAAAGCTATATACCTACCACAGGTGGTTACCTTCTAGACTAGGTGACGGTTGTTCACAGTTTTAGAAATGCCCCGTCCATACTTGCTGATCCAAAACACCATCAATGACACCGACAACCCAAAGACAAATGTGCTGTTGGGAACAATAGGACAGAATTTTTGAAATCACAGTGGTCCGAGGCATGCTGTCACGGTGTCTCTGGGCTGCATGCATTCCCCAGTGACCTGGGTAGTTGAATTGAAACTGTAGCTCCAAAGACAAAAAATACTGGTCGCTCATTCCAAGAGGTCCGTCATGGTTCAGATCTCCAGATCCTGGTGCCAGGGACCAAACCTGGCCCCTGAAGAGGTGGGTATGGATACTCTGCAATGGGGGAAGGATGACTGCCAGGTGAGGGAGATGCAGAAGACAGGAGAATGCCTCCCCCCGCTCCAGGCAGGGGGCTGATAAAATAAAACAGCCACAGTAGCAATTCCCAAGGTGGGGGGGGGGCCTAAATATTGTGCATTTTTCTAAAGAGTAAAGTGCCTTTGTATGATGAATGGGTCCAGAGGAGTCTGCTCCCTTCCCTTCCGTGAAGCAGGCAGGCTGAGTCACCATGACAGCCTGCTAATTAAAATGACCTCCTGGAAATGAGGATTCGGAGATCGGGAGAGGAAGGAAGGCTCAGGGGAGATAGGGCCTTTAGCACAAAGCTCCAGTTAAGCATTCTTTTGCGTTGGGATGGGGGATTTTTGAAGTTTGTTGCAAAAACTGAGAGCAAAGCTTATTCTCCCTTTGCTTATTGGTTTTCAGAAATGATAACAAAGAACCATATGTTAGTTGGCTACAAATGTTGTGTGGTGTATATAGCTTCTCCTCGGGGTTCTTTTTGCCCAGAGGAACACAAATAAAGTGGTTTATGCATCTCTTCTGTTCCTCTGAACATTCTTGGCACCCTTCCCTTTAGGTCTTCCACTCCCACAGGAACCAACCAGCCAACCCAAATTTGGTTTGACTCGCACTTTGCTGTCAGGGACTCTGTCATCAGGGATAAGGAAGAACAGTCAAGACTTGACTTTCCGGCAGTTCCTGTGTCAGAGTCCCGGGGAGCTGAGCTCAGTGCAACGTGAGCCAAGAGCATGGCAGGTCTTTCAGAAATGGTAGCATCTCTTGAGACAGCATGAACAGAGGTGGACTGCATAAATCAGGCACGGTGACAGTCCAGGTCTATTTTCCCTGATCAGACCGCCTCCATAATGTTGGGACCATATTTAGGCCCCACTTTGTAAAAACTGCATTGATTGATTGGATCACAGCCTCAGAAGCCCCAGGTATGCGAGCGGTTTGAAACCGAGAACCTGGAGCCAGGCACCTCTGGCTTCTAACTCTGCATTCAGACCCTGGTTCTGTCTTTTAATATCTGTGTGATCTTGGGCAAATTATTTAACCTGTCTGAATCTTAGTTCCCTCCCCTGCAAGGTGGTGATCGTGATATCTGCCTCATTACAGTTGTTATGTAGGTCTGGGAAATGTCAGCAAGGGTGCTCAGGAAAGGTGAGCTGTGTTATTTGAGATGTGACCAACATGGTGAGGTGTTGGCAAATCATTTCCCATTGGAAATGGAGAAGATGAGCTGGTTATCCCTGTGATGAAAAATAAGAGGGAGTGGGGGTAGGAAAGTGAGATCACAATCTCTAAAAAAGTGGGAAGAACATCTTGGACTTTTTTTTTTGTCCAAAAGAAGCAAACCTGTTCTGTGTTGCCAAAGGTAAGAACCAAATCCAATGATACAGTTTCAATGAGATGGATTTCAGCTCAAAAAATGAGGAAAACTTTCTAGTGAATAGAGTTGCCAGCCATTGGATGGGCTTCCTGGGGAGACAGTGAGCTCCCCATCACCAGATGTATGCAAATATTCATAATGAACATCTGTCATGGGGGAAATGGAAGGGGTTCCTTCTCTAGGGGGATGCTGGATGCTCTGTGGCATCACCTCCTGGTCTATAACTCTGGAGAGGAATGGCATGAGGCAGGTGGTCACCTTCCTGATGTCAAAGAATGGAATTTACAGTATAAAAAGTATCATTTAATGCTAAACAAATGACATTAAATATCTCTGAATTACAGCATATGGATCCTGCTAACATTTAGAATTCCTTAAGAAGGAAAAATGCTAGCTATAAGGCAGACTGTAGGGTGTGTTGGCACTAGGACCACCTGCTTCTTTCCATTGGCGGAGCAGAGAGGAAAGGGCTACCCAAGAGACCAGGGGTTGCCAGTGGACCTCCCTGGGTCCTTGGCCTGCTCAGCAACTCCCTAGCTTTCTTGGACCAGGTTCTACCTGTGGTCTCCAGTTAGAGAGGAAGGTTTTCGGCAAGGAGATGGAAGACAGCAGCAATCTGGCAGTGAACCAGCCAGAAGCTACTAGCCCACCCAGCCCCAGGAGGGGGCGCTCCAGCCTCTTTTCCTACCTGCCCACCTTCATCTCTGCACAGAGCCCCAAGTGGGTAGACTGGGCTACCAACCCAGTGTTCTGAGGAAAGTGAGATAACTCTGCCAAAAGGAAGAGTGGAGAGGGGAGAGACATGCTGGGCTTCTACCTGGCTCTCACATGTATCTCCATAAACAGTGCCACTTTTCTCTCCACTAGTCCAGAAGCTCAGAGACAAGACTAGGGGTCTATTTACTCTCAAAAGCTATGGTAGGCAAGCCAGAGGTCACCCAGATTCTTTGTGCAGAAGCCCATAGCAGAGGGGTGCCTGGGTGGCTCAGTCGGTCGAGCATCTGACTCTTGATTTTGGCTCAGGTCATGATCTCAGGATTGTGAGATGGAGCCCCACATCGGGTTCTGTGCTGGGCGTGGAGCCTGCTTATGTTTCTCTCTCTCCTTCTCCCTCTGCAACCCTCCCCCCCACAACGCACACCCCAAAATAGAAGCCCACAGCAGAGGCTGAGTCACCTGCTTCTGATGACTGTCCCTGCAGCAGGGGACCTTTAGCTGGGAGCTTTCCCTGTGGTTCAATGACATACCTGAGACCTACCTAAGAGCATCCTGGCTCATTTTCCTAAGTAGTAAGAGCAGCGCCAACCATGAAGTCTGGAGTGATTAACATTTGTTTGGCCTCAATTCATTCATCTGCCAAGTACTCACTGGGCATTTGCTGTGTGCCAGGCATCATGCTAGATGCCTTTGCTTCCACTGTCTTATTTGATATCCCCAATAGTCCTTGAGGTATCATTTTCTATTTTGCTAAATAGAGACTCCTAAAAGTAAAATCCTTTGTTTGCATTCATCTGGCTAGTGAGAATCTGGATTCAAACCCAGCTCCCTTTCCATTCCTCTAAGCTGGGCACTCTCCATTGGTCTCTAGGGAAAATCAGGTCAAAACAGGAGAACAGGTGTAAGCAGAATAACATGTGACCAATGGGATCACTTAGAGGTGGTGGGGAATGGGGAGAGAGGCAGGGGACACAGAAGTTTCCAGAGTGGGTGTGTGAGTAAGGATTTCAGGACTTTTTAGCACCTGTAGCTGAAACCCTGTCTTCTTCCCATCTCTCGCTCCCATAAACCTGTATGAGCTCCTGCTGGGCACTCCAACAGGGTGGGGTTTGGGCAAGTGGTCCATTTATCACGACACGCAGAGGCTTCTATATCTCCCAGGGCTCCTGGAAACTCAGCAAGGTAGTCATTGCAAGACCCATCCTGGCACCCTCTGGGTTACTGACCCCATGCAAATAATCCAGTTCAGGTGCTGTTCGCACTCCCTCCTTCTGGAGTGTGTGAGCTGAGCCTACAGTGTCTCCCTATTGTTGTTCAGAATTCTTCCTCTGAGTCTTGTCTCCTGAGCATTCGGAGGGCGCCAAGCGTAGAGATCCTTTCTCTCACAGCTCAGCTCAGCCAGAGGGGCACCAGGGCAGACAGAATAGGGGAGACATTATAACGTAATAAGAACAGCCTGGGTTTAAAAACTCAGACAAACTGAAATGTGGATCCCAGCTCTTCTATCAACTTGCTGTATGGCTTTGGGCAAAAAATTTAACCTCTTTAAGCCTTGGGATTCTCATCTGTAAAATGGGAATGAAAACCTACCTTCCATAGTTATTGTGAGGATTAATAGAATAAAATCTACGTACAACAGAGAGCCTGTAGTTAATACTGTATTGTGCACCCAGACGTTTGTTAAGATGGTAGATCTCATGTTAAGTTCTTATAGCAACAACAACAAAAACAAAAAATAGCAACAACAAAGAGACACAAGGAAGCGTTTGGAGGTGATGGAGATGTCTATTACCTTGATTGTGGATTGTTCCGCAGGTGCTTGCATATGTACAAACTCATCAAATCATGTAAGTTAAATATGTGCAGTTTTTGTGTATCAATTACACCTCAATGAAAGCTGTCTAAAAAATATAATAATATCTACAAAATAAGTGGCAGAGGGTAGAACTCTTTCCACAAGTCACCCTCACCCCTGTTCACTTCTCACTTGCTTGCTAGGGTTGAAAATCCCTTTTCTTGGAGCCAAAACTCTGTTTATGCTCAGATGAAGTATAGACAGGAGTACAAAGTCTCCTGAGTAGAGGGCAGGGGTGAGAGAAGTCCAGAAAAGCGACAGTCACACAGAGGGATCAGTGTTAGACCAGGGACCCAGGTCTTATCATCACTGCGGCTTCAGCATGAACACAGATCGTATAGCAGAGCCCGTGCTCCCTGAGTGTGGGATGAATGGGTGTTAGGGGTGGGGTAGAGCCAGAGACCTGAGTCGGTGACGGAGAGGAAAGAGGCTTTGTAAGTTGGGGTTCTGCACAGGGGAGAAGATAGTGTTGGACACAACGGTCACCAAGCCTGAATTGAGGAGGAATTGACAAGACTAAAAAGAGAAAGGGGGGCGGGGTTAGGTTCTGCGAGATGTCTTGTTTTATTAAAATAACAAAAGAATTTTAGCAGGATTTCTAAGAGGCTCTTTCCGTGTCGTCTGTGATTGGCATGCGCTTTCTCAGGGATGGTCTCCAAAGGTGGCACACGGATGCGCTGTGCTGGCTGCAACCAGACCCCCCCAAGCTCTGTCCCCTGTCAGCTCTCCCCACTCTCACCAGACTCTGGGCTTACCTGCCCATCTTGCAGATCACTGAGATCAGTGCGATCAAGTCTCTTGTCTGTGGTCCACAGCTGGGAAATAACTAGGACAGGACCTAGGCACAAACCCGCCTCTGCCACACCCCACTGCCTTTTGGTTCAACCCCAAACCTCGGGGCTAAGCCTGACCAGTTCAGAAAGCCATCCTTGCAACTCCTCTTATGGCTCCTTGATGCTCGCAATTTGCTTGTCCCCAAAGACCTGGGATCTATTTTTGGCTGGCCTTATGTCAATCTTAAATCCAAATCTGCTGCTCTCCCTGGCATCAGCTGTCTGGGTTAATGTCTTCTTTTTCCACCTGGTCACCCAGGCTGGAAGCCTTGTCACTGTGTTAACTCCCTTCTTTTTCTCGCCCTGCACGGCCAGCCAGTCCCCCAGGCCCGCTGCTTCTGCCACAGCAATGTGTCTGCCTGCAAGCAGTGTCATGGAGTGACTTTGGAGTCCCTAGACTCGAGATTCAGTCTCACCTCCACCACAGGCTATTCTGGTCTTGTGAATCATTTAAAGCAGTTTACTTTCCTCATCGTTAAAATGGAGAAATAATACTTCTGGCAGGATTGTTGTGCATCTCCCTCCTCTCCCCTTTCCATGCTCTCCCTCCCATCCACTCCCACCATCATCCAGTCCTACCTGGATTGCTGTAACAGCCCCTCCCTGCCAACTCCCTAGCTCTCTCCCCAGGGGTGCTTACAAGGTCTCTTTAAAACATGACCCCACCTTTATGGCAC